CGAAACTCTCGCTAAAACCTATGTGAAGCTTCGGAACTATTACAGTACTACCGGAAAACGTCAAAAAGTCGGCTAGAACTGCCAGCACCCCAGAGTTTACTCTTGTAATGCGGTTCTTGTACTCAAGTTTAAAAATTGTATAAAAATAGTTAGAGGCCGTAACTCTTGCTAAAACATATCAGGAACTATAGAGCACTTCGAGAACTGTAAAATAAAATTATCAAAATAATTTTTTTTTAATGTTGCGGTGCCGTGGTAAGTTGGCACCTTATATTTTAAAAAATTCATTTTTTTTATTAATTCGACGGAACTATTGCTATAACCTATCAGGAACTATAGAACTATTGTGGGTGCAAATGGAACTCATGTCAAAACTTGCGGTGCTAAAAAATGAGGTGCCAACTTCACGCACGCTAGAAAATGAGCGTATTTAAGTAATATGGAATGCAGCCATAAACTATTTAAATAAGTGCAGTGTAACATATCGAACAGATAATTTTAATAGTAGAGTAGATAATATTAAAAATACATAAAAATTATAGAAAATGCACACACAATTGCTACATATTCTAAAATTCATTAAAAAATCATAGACAGACATTAAAAAGTCTGATGACAAAATTGTTGAGGTCACTTTCCAAGATTTTTCCAACGTCTGTTTGCTGTCTGAATTTTTATCTATTTACAAATTGATTAAGAGAATTGCTGAAAGAAGATGCTAAAATTGACAACTTTATCGGGAGAATACTGACATTTTTCTGCAAACTTTATGTCGTATTGGTTGTATAAAATTACAAATGCTTTTACGCAATGAAAGCACGTGTAAAAATAAATAGGAATATTGCTCAATATGTGACGAGAGAAAACGAAAAAAGAATTTTAAATGTAAAGTTTCAAGCTGTCAGCATAATATTTGCCTAATCCAAAAGTGTAAAAGTTCTACATCTTCTACATCTACGAAAGTATAGATGTTCCAAACAGAAAAATTTTGAAGAACGTTGCTGTATCTTTGCATCTGAATTCAGAAACTTAAGTATATGAGAGAAGTTTGCAGAAATATTTCTACACATGCATAGTTAGATTTTCCGCTGAATATAATAAAATAACATACATTTACGTAAATCCTATATGTACAAGAAATATTAAAAAGATAGAGTGATTGTACTCCTTAGTAACGTTTATCTCTGCGTTCAATGTATCTCAATGTTATCGCTTAAAGTTCATGATATACTGACCCGTAATCGTATGTAAGTGTTCACGTGTGACCACTTATCATAGTTATTTATAAATAGTTTTTCTAACTAACGTCGAATTGGTACGAAAAAAAACAGTCTGAATTAACGTAACTTGTTTAGTTAAACAATTTTTACAACCCAATAAAATTTCTAGTCTATTGTAATCAAATATTCCAGAACATCAGGTTCAATATCGGTCATAGATTACTGCATATCTAATTCAACCATAAATTAAATATCTTACGTGCGTTAATTTCGAGTCATAGTTTTAATTGAATTAACAAAAGAATTATGACAAAATACAAATATATTTTTTGTCCATTTACTTTTTGTGATATTAAATTATATATATTGTTGGAAAATTATACAATTGGGCTGATTACAACATATTTGGATAGTATATAACAGATTTATCAATTAGAGAAATGGCACAGCGCATAAGAAAGACAACTGATTTATAATCCAGAAATTCCGAGTTTAAAGCCAGAGATTTCTGGGTTACGACAGATCTCACGAAATTCTGACATGAACAAAAACATTTTGTGTCCAGATTCATGTTTAGAAGACAAAATTTTGTAAGAAATATCTTATTAAATCTTAAGGCAAATTTGGTGTTGTTAAATATAATTTACAGCTCGATTTCACTGTTTCTCATTTCAAAACGAAATGAGACGAACAAGAAAGTCCGTTTTGCGATACGTTTACGCTTGTCGGAAAATTTGACGGGCATTAAAGACCTCGATATTTCGAGCAAATGGATATTACAGATTTATCACTGCGGAGTTATTGAGTTGCGCTTGCAATTATGTGCAGAACTACCTTCTCTAGCAATATGCAACGGAATGAGATTTCCCACAAGCTGTTTGTCGTGACCAGTCGTATCGCATAAAAACTCGAATTAA